GGTCTGTGTCTAAATTCATTTTTATGCATATGGATGCATAGTTGTTCTAGGACCATTTGTTGAAAAGATGTCTTTGCTCCTTTGTGTTGTCTTTGTTCCTTTGTCAAAGATCAGTTGAGTATAATTATGCAACTCTATTTCTGAGCTCTCTACTCTGTGCCATTGATCTACTTGTCTCGTCTTTCACCAGTACTGCACTGTCTTCATTACTATAAGTTTATAGTGAGTCTTGAAGTTAGGTAGTGTCAGTCTTCTGGCTTTGTTCTTTTCTTTAATATCCTGGTATTCTAGGTCTTTTGCTTCTTTTTTTTTTTTTTTTTTTAAAGATTTTATTTATTTATTCATGAGAGACAGAGAGAGAGAGAGAGAGAGAAGCAGAGGGAGAAGCAGGCTCCCAAGGAGCAGGGAGCCCGATGCGGGGCTCGATCCCAGGACCCTGGGATCATGACCTGAGCCGAAAGCAGAAGCTCAACCATCTGAGCCACCCAGGCGCCCGGTCTTTTGCTTCTTGATATAAACTTTAGAATCAGTTTGTTGAGATCTATAAAATTACTTTCTGGGGGCGCCTGGGTGGCTCAGTTGTTAGGCGTCTGCCTTCGGCTCAGGTCATGATCTCAGGGTCCTGGGATCGAGCCCCACATCGGGCTCCCCGCTCGGCAGGAAACCTGCTTCTCCCTCTCCCACTCCCCCACTTGTGTTCCCTCTCTCGCTGTGTCTCTGTCAAATAAATAAATAAATAAATAAATAAAATAAAAAATAAATAAATTTAAAATTACTTTCTGGGATTTCATTGTATCTATAGATCTTGACAATATTTACAGAATTATCAAGACATCTTGACAATATTGAATCCTTCTATGAACATGGAATTTCTGTCTCTCCATTTAGTTCTTTCTTCACATCTTTCATCAGTTTTGTAGTTTTCCTCATATAAATCTGGTACATGTTTTGTTAGATTTATACCTAAGGATTTCATTTTTTGTGTGCTAATGTAAGCAGTAATATCTCAGTTTCAACCTCCATTTGTTCATTGCTTATATATGGGAAAGACTGACTTTTATACATTAATTTTATATCCTGCAATTTTGTTATAATAACTTATTCCAGTTTTTTGGCAAAATTTTTCAGATTCTCTGCATAGATAATAGTGTCATCTGCCAGTAGGAAGTTTTATTTCTTCCTCGCCAATCTGTATATCTTTTATTTACTTTTTTTCTCTTATTGCATTAGCTAAGAATTCTGTTACAGCATTGAAAAGTAGTTCTGGGGCGCCTGGGTGGCTCAGTCATTAAGCGTCTGCCTTCAGCTCAGGCCATGATCGTAGGGCCCTGGGATTGAGCCCGCATCGGGCTCCCTGCTCGGTGGGAAGCCTGCTTCTCCCTCTCCCCATCCCCCTGCTTGTGTTCCCTCTCGCTGTGTCTCTCTCTGTAAAATAAATAAATAAAATCTTAAAAAAGGAAAAGTAGTTCTGAGCAGCGCCTGGGTGGCTCAGTTGTTAAGCATCTGACTCTTGGTTTCAGCTCAAGTCTGATCTCAGAGTTGTGAGATTGAGCCCTATGTGTCAGGCTCTGCGTTCAGTGCAGGAGTTGGCTTGAATTTCTCTCTCCCTCTGCCCTTCCCCCCTGCGCTTTCTCTCTCTCACTGAAATAAATAGATAGATCTTAAAAAAAAAAAAAAAAAGCAGTGCTAAGAAGGGACATCCTTGCAGTGTTCTTGGTTTTAGCAGGAGAGCTTCAAATTTCTCACCATTGATATGATGTTAGCTGTAGGGTTTTTTTTTTTTTTTTTTTTGATGTTCTTTACAACTTGAGGAAATTCCACTTTATTCCTAGTATGTTGAGTTTTTTCTTGAATGGATGTTGGATCTTGCAAGGCATGTCTACTAACATGTTTCCTTAGTTTTTGTCTCAGAAAATCTTTATTTCTCCTTCACCTTTGAAGTATAGTTTTGTAGGGTACACGATTCTAGGTTGGTGGGTTTTTTTTCTCTCAACACTATACCACATTAAGTACTATCTCAATGATCTTAAGTAACATTGGTGATAGAGAATATTTGTTCTTTTTTTTTTTTTTTCTTCATAAGAAGAGAGTGAATGCATCTAAAAGTTTTGCTTTGAGTATATTAGTTGCTGATTTGTCATAGGAACCCTTCTTTACATTAAGAACCGAATCCTTGTGGGCACCTCGGTAGCTCAGTTGGTTAAGTGTCCGACTCTTGGTTTTGGCCCCAGTTGTCATCTCAGGGTCGTGAGATTGAGCCCTGCATTGGGCTCCGTGCCCAGCGTGGAGTCTGCTTGAGAGTCTCTCTTCCTCTCCCTCTGCCCCTCCCTCCACTCACATATGCTCTAAAACAAATAAATCTTTAAAAGAAAAAAAAAAAAAGAATGAATCCTTGTATTCCTCTAGGCTTTTAATCAGTATAAGTGCTAAGTTATATCAGATCCATTTGACATTTACCAAAAAGAGTATGGGCATATAAGTGATAGAAGGAGGGGAGGTGACTTCGAGGGAATGAAGGGGGGTGAGAAATATATAATTAGCATTCTATTCATATTTTGAACCTGGTTTTCTTGGTTGTGCCTTTTACTCGCATTGGTCTGTGAAACCATATGGCAGGTAGTATACTAAATCTTTGTAGTTAACCCCAGTTGCTTTTGCTTTTTCTAATATCATTAAATATCTATGTTCACCTGATATATCTTGCTGTATTTCCATTCCCAACTAATTTCTGCAGTGAAGCCTTTCTAGATGAAGCTTTTCTTTACCAATTCCAGTGGATTTTTATATCTCATTTCTGATCTTATACAGTTTTTACTCTAAATATAATGAGCTTATCTTGTTTCTTTTAAAAAAAATTTTTTTTTTTAAGATTTTTATTTATTTGCGAGAGAGAGAATGAGAGACAGAGAGCATGAGAGGGAGGAGGGTCAGAGGGAGAAGGGAGCAGGGAGCCTGATGTGGGACTCGATCCCGGGACTCCAGGATCATGACCTGAGCCGAAGGCAGTCGCTTAACCAACTGAGCCACCCAGGCACCCAAGACCATTTTCTTAACTATTATTTTACTGCTTCCCCATCCTAATCTTTCATTTTAATGTGCCTACCATATAGGTATAGATCTTGATTCTTTGTTCATATACCTATTAAAGAAATAGGTCTGGGGTGCCTGGGTGGCTCAGTTGGTTAAGTATCTGCCTTTGGCTCAGGTCATGATCTGGGGTCCTGGGATCAAGCCCAATGTTGGGCTCCATGCTCAGTGGGAAGCTTGCTTCTCCCTCTGCCCCCACCACCCTGGCTTGTGTGCAGGCGTGCTCTCTCTCTCTCAAATAAATAGTTAAAACCTTGAAAAAAAAAATAGGTTTATATACTTTTTCCTAGAAGCTTAAGGTCAGTGGTAGTAAATAAAAGATAGCATTCCCCCATACAAAATAAATGTCAAAATGTGTTTTATTTTTTTTTATTTTTTAAAGGTATGCTTTTTTTTTTTTTTTTAAGATTTTATTTATTTATTTGACAGAGAGAGACAGTGAGAGAGGGAACACAAGCAGGGGGAGTGGGAGAGGGAGAAGCAGGCTTCCTGAGGAGCAGGGAGCCTGATGCGGGGCTCGATCCCAGGACCCTGGGATCATGACCTGAGCCGAAGGCAGACGCTTAAGCTTAATGACGGAGCCACCCAGGTGCCCCTCAAAATGTGTTTTAAATAAAAATGAATTTTTTAGTGTTATTTGGAAATAACTTTAAACTTCCAGAAAACTTTCAAGAATAGTACAAGAATATCTATAAGCTCTTTATTCAAATTCACCTATTGCTAATATTTTGCCCCATTCATTTTATCATTTGGTATATGATTTTTTTCTGAAAGATCAGAGAATAAATTGGATACATCATGGCCTTTTACCCCCACGTATTCCTAAGAATTAGGATATGAGTGAATATATTTCTTAAAAAGTCTTCATATTATTATACTGTTTTGTTCCCCCCAAAAGGATAAAGTACCTTCCTAAAATGTAGCCTGGAGAAAATCAGGGCCTATGTTTGAACTGTTAAAAGCATCTAATAGGGTGCCTGGGTGGCTCAGTTGATTAAGCGTACAACTCTTGGTTTTGGCTCAGGTCATGATCTCAGGGTTGTGAGATTAAGCCCTGCATCAGGCTCCACACTCAGCAGTGAGTTTGCTTCAGATTTTCTCCCTCACCCTTTGCCCCTCCCACTTGTGCACTCTCGCTCTCTAATAAATACACCTGGGGGGAGAAAAAAAGCATGTTATACCAAAGTTGAGCTTCAGTTATCAATTTGGAAAGTAGAGTTAGAGTGAGGATCATAGACAGTCATTTTCATGGATACCTTTTACTTATTTATTTAAAATAAGTCACTGTCAGGTGTTCCAAAGGCATTAAGCGAACAGAGTCTGAGGTCTTTGTGGGACCTGAGGAACATTTGTAGTTTATTAGCAGCATTATGAAATTGTCTTTTTCAAGTCCTTTTTGCCTTAGATAAAGTTTAAGTAGAGCTGATAAAGACGAAAATGCATCCTTCCGAAGTATTTATCTTCCTGACCGTTTTTTTTTTTTTTTTAAAGATTTTATTTATTTATTTGTCAGAGAGAGAGAGTAAGAATGAGTGAGCATAAGCAGGGGGGAAGGTCAGAGGGAGAAGCAGGCTCCCCACTGAGCATGGAGCCCGACATGGGGCTTGATCCCAGGACCCTGGGATCATGACCTGAGCTGAAGGCAGACGCTTAACTGACTGAGTCACCCAGGAATCCCCTGTCCTGTTTCTTCCCTCACCTTCAGTTACTTCTATTTAGTCTTCCCTTTTTACCTACATCCCTCTTCTGAATTTCTGGGCATACTGCTCAGATTTCAGTCTATATGAGAACTATGAAAGCCATGTAGTGTTGAGTTTGTTTGTTTTATCTCTCATTGAAAAAGCGAGGAGTGGCTTTACTTTACTCAATACAGGGAGGAAAAAAAAATTTGCTTTGTTTTTTTTTATTTTCAGAGTCAAATGGTGACATCAAAGAGTTTTCTCCAAAAAATGTCACATATGAAGATGGCTCATCCCAGTATTTGGTAGTGGAAAGAATTTTAAACCAAGACCCTGAATATTCCAGTTTTAAAGGAGGCTGGAAATGCGAGGAAGATACTCAGATGCAAGGAAATCAGGGAGGTATCAGGCAAGTGACAGTCTCTCATCAAGGAGCCCTGTCTCAGCATATGAGCATCAATACCGTGGAGAGGCCCTATGGATGTCATGAATGTGGAAAAACTTTCAGTCGGCGCTTTTCCCTTGTGTTACACCAGAGAACTCATACTGGAGAGAAACCATACGTATGTAAGGAATGTGGCAAAACCTTTAGCCAGATCTCAAACCTTGTGAAACATCAGATGATACATACTGGAAAGAAACCCCATGAGTGTAAGGACTGTAATAAAACATTCAGTTACCTCTCATTCCTCATTGAACACCAGAGAACACATACTGGGGAGAAACCTTATGAATGTACTGAATGTGGAAAGGCCTTTAGCCGTGCCTCAAACCTCACGCGCCATCAGAGAATTCACATAGGAAAGAAACAGTATATTTGTAGGAAATGTGGGAAAGCCTTTAGCAGTGGCTCAGAACTTATTCGCCACCAGATTACACATACTGGAGAGAAACCTTATGAATGCATTGAATGTGGAAAGGCATTTCGCCGTTCTTCACACCTTACTCGGCATCAGAGCATCCATACTACCAAAACCCCCTACGAATGTAATGAATGTAGGAAAGCCTTCCGTTGCCACTCATTCCTTATTAAACACCAGAGAATTCATGCTGGAGAAAAGCTCTATGAGTGTGATGAATGTGGTAAGGTTTTCACATGGCATGCATCCCTTATGCAACATATGAAAATTCATACTGGAGAAAAGCCCTATGCATGTACTGAATGTGATAAAACCTTTAGTCGGAGCTTTTCCCTCATTCTACATCAGATAACTCACACTGGGGAGAAACCCTATGTATGCAAGGTGTGCAATAAGTCCTTCAGCTGGAGCTCAAACCTTGCCAAACATCAGAGAACACACACCCTAGAGAACCCCTATGAATATGAAAATTCGTTTAGTTATCACTCATTCCTTACTGAGCACAAAGGAATTCGCACTACAGAGAAAACCTAACAACGTATGGATTAAAAAACAAAACAAAACAGTTAATGCCTTACTTTGGACCCCTGGAAAGAAGCCTTAAGTGAGTATGTTGAATGTGAAGAAGGTGGGTCATACTTGATTCAATATCCGGAAAATAATAACCCAGGAATACGATGGGAAGCCATTAGTAGCCGCACATTCTTTTTGTTACATCAGAAGATGAAATCAGTACTGAGAAGACTTCATCTGGTAGGATTCCCTCACTCGACCTTTGTAAATTCCTACCAGGGAAGGACACGTGGCCGATAAACGTGAGAAAGCTTTTATTTAGAAATTGGTCCCCGTTCTGCATCTGTCAGCTCAAACAGGACAGTGTGTGGGCAAGAGTGCACATTTTCCTGGACATCAGAAAATTCATAATGAAACAAAGTCATGCAAATGCAATGACTTGGCAATGTCCTTGTGTACCATGCAATATTTATTAAGTTTGAAAATACTCTTCTAAAGAGAAAAAGCAACCCTATAAATGAACTGAATAGAGGGTTTTCTGCTTTATTTCAGAACTGCAGAATTATACTGGGGAGAAAACTACTATTGTAAGGAGTGTGGCAAATCTTAAAAGAGTTCTGAGAAGTCCTACTGGAGGGAATTTGTGGGCGTTTTTTTTGGGGGGGGGGAGTTATTTTTGTTTTAAAGCAAACTCAGAAAAGAAAGCTACGAATAAATGTTTTTAGTTAATCTGGTACTTGCAGAGTTTTTTCCACAGGATGTGTCGTTCTGAAAATGCAAACACCACAGTATTGACATCAGCAGTGAAGACTAGTGTGCGTTTGTAGAAACATACATGGTTACAGAAACATTTTTAGTATCTTAATGGCTTTAACTTTGAGATAGAGTATAGATTTAAGGTTATGCTAACTCATGTTTATCCTTGAATATGACTAGACCTGTCTTGGCCTGAAGTAAATGTAGATAAGGTATGTCGCAGGAAAATGCCAAGGTGGTTTTCCTCTTTTGATCCACTTACAGTGGGAACATTCCTTTTGTAAGCACGTTTGTCAAAATAAACCAGATGATGTTTTTACTCTCCATGTACACCTTGCCCATTTTTAAATGTCCCAGTTGAAAGTATCTTATCTTGGAAGCATCTGTCTGCCTCCTTTTAAGAATTGAGCTTGCATTTAGGATAAGTAATACACAGTTTAGTACTTGAATAAGTGCCTCATTTAAGTATATTTCATGTATGGCTAAATTTTTCACCAAGTGAGAGGCTGGCAATTTTCTTTCCTACTTACTATGGTGTAACACATAACTGTTGCCTAATAATTTTCTCAAAGCCTCAATCTCTACCAGAACAGCTCCATTGTACAAGCCCTTCCTTTCCTGCAGTGCATTATTACTTTTCCTAGCCCCATGTGGGGAGTCTTTGTTGGACAAAAATGTATTTATCATTTCAGAGGTTTATAACATTCAGGGATGTGGCCATAGACTTGTCTCACGAGAAATGGGGCTGACTGGACCCTGACCAGAAGAATTTATATAGGAATTTAATGATTTGGAACTATGGGAACCTCATCCGAGATTACCATTCCTCCAAATTCAAAACCTGAATTTAGGTATCTTTGCTTTCTCTTTTAGGAAAAGGGGGTGGGCTTTAAATTGCCTGCCTGAATTCCTACTCCAGGTTCTTGAAGAAATGAATTAAAATCGGTAGAAGTGGGAAGTGGCTTGCATTCTTCCTTGAACGCTCTGCCCGTCCCCGCCACTCGTGCTTTTTTATTTTGAGAGAGGGAGAGAGAGAGAGAGAGAGAGAATGAGCAGGGGGAGGGGCAGAAGAGAGGGAGAAGCAGGTTCCTTGCTGAGTGGAGAGCCCGATGTGCCAGGACCCTGAGATCATGACCCCGGTCAAAGGCAGATGCTTAATTGACTGAGCCACCCAGGTGCCCCTAGATTCTCTTCCTCTGTATTAAGAAGTCAGGTCTGGATCTAGGAAAAACCATAATCTTTTGAAGTATCTATTTTTCCCTTTTATAAGCAGGACTCTCTCTTTCTAAATCAAATGTGGCCCTTACTGGAGCAAGGAAGAGTCAAAGAATGATGGACAAAAGATGACAAGAGGCCTATGATCAGGTAAGTGTGGGACAATCAGGCAGGGAGTGCCATTGCATGGAGTAGTCCAGCTTACCAAATTGCTTGAATCATTTTCTCAAAAATAGTAACTTTCCTTTAAAATTCCTGTCATGCAACAGCATTCTGAACTATGAAACTCATCCTTTTTTTTTTTTTTTTAAAGATTTTATTTATTTGAGAGAGAGAGAGAAAAATAGCATGAGAGGGGATAGGGTCAGAGGGAGAAGCAGGCTCCCCACTGGGCCGGTAGCCCAATGTGGGACTCGATCCCAGGACTCCGGGATCATGACCTGAGCAGAAGGCAGTCGCTTAACCAGCTGAGCCACCCAGGAGCCCTGAACTATGTAACTCATCCTAAAGGTACTCATTAAGTTGTGGTTAAGATACTTCAGAAAATAAGAACTATGCTTTTATTTATTTATTTGAGTTATTTATTTATTTGAGAGAGAATACATGCACACGTGAGCAGGGGGAGGGGCAGAGGGAGAGAGAATCTCAAGCAGATGCTCAACATGGGGCTTGATATCCCATGACCTGAGCAGAAATCAGGATTTGGCCGCTTAACTCACTGAGCCACCCAAGTATCTGTGCTATTATTTTTAATTAAAGTAAATACAGATAATTTCTAGATTATACAATAAGATATTAAGAGACTTGCTACTGAAAAAAGAAAATGAATAGCTTGTGGGCATTTTCATCATACAATATATTTGTCATATCAAGAAGGCGCTGGCAAGGTTCACAGTTGCTTGCTTTCACTGAATTTTAGCACACAAATCTGTTACATCTTTCCATATTTAACAATGATTTTTCATAAACTAGTGCTTTCCAGAGGTAGCAGAAAAGTAAAAAGAAATTTGCCTGTCTTTTTTAAGATTTTATTTATTTATTTAATGAGAGAGAATGAGAAAGCACAAGCAGGGGGAGAGGGAGAAGCAGACTGAGTCACCCAGTCCCCCTTAAAGTTGCCTGTTTTTTAAGATGAAATTCTGTAACAATAGCCAGACACATTAAGATATAAAAGCAAACAGCAGGAGAAAAACATGTATGATGTTACACTTTAAATCACTTGTGGAACACAATATTGTTTCAGTTCCTGTTTGTATTGTTGAGACAAGAACCATCTCTGTACATCTGAAGGGGTAGGCATCCTGCTTGAACATTAAGAACTATGTAGTATAAGATGTTTGTATCTCAGGGCGCCTGGGTGGCTCGCTCAGTTAAGTGTCTGCCTTGGGCTCAGGTCATGATCCCGGGGACCTGAGATCGAGCCCCGTGTCAGGCTCCCTGCTCAGCGGGGAGTCTGCTTCTCCCTCTGCCAACCCCACCCCCCACCCATGCTCTCTCTCGCTTGCTGTGTGTCTCTCTCTCAATAAAATCTTAAAAAAAGATGTTTGTATCTCAGACACAGTTTTATTATGTTTGCATGTGTAAAATTTAGTGAAACATGCTCAGGAATGCAACCATTATTTCGAGTGAGAATGGTACCATATTTTCATTACTTTGCTGTCATTTATTCAATTATCCATACGTTGTGAAAGCATCATACTCCCAATGAAGAGGTCCGTCCTTGGTAGACGAACACAACACATGGTATTTTTTCTGGAATAGGACTCCATGTATTATTTCTGCGTGAAACCTTCCTTAATTGAGTTGAGCTTCAGAGTGGTTCCCTTGCATACAGCCGGTCTGAGTGCACAGCTGGGTGGCTCTCGGCACCCGGCACACGTACGGGCAGCTGCCCTGCACTGGTGCCTGTCTGATAGGGGTGCGACAGTTCGTGAATGCAGTGTTGTTAGTGTGGGGTCGGGTTTCATGGCTACTTACAGTGTCTTCAAAAAGTCTGCTTCCAAATAGGATGTAGAATTGTGGCAACAACCAGATACAATACGAAAATCCCATTTTAAAAGGCATCATTGAGCTGTGGAAGCAAGAGAGAAATCACAGGAGTTTTTGTGGTCAGTTGAAGTTGAAATGGCAGATTAGGAACTTGAGAATCTTCAAATGCATAGCTGGTTCCCTCCCCTGGGACATTTGCTGAATTTAGGGCTGTGCAGGAGGCTGGAGAGCCAAAATAAAAGCTTCCAAAAGAGTGAAGTGTCTGCAGTGTCTTTGGTGCTTAGGAATGAAAAACCCACTCGAGAAGGTGGCTGCCCAAGATAAATGGCCAGTCTCCCCCCAAGCTGCCTATCCAAGTTTGAAGCTGCATGGGGTAGGAGGTTAAGGAGATTAGAAACTACCAAGCCCTCAGATTCATTTATTTATTTTTAAATATTTTATTTATTTATTTGAGAGACAGAGAATGAGAGAGAGCACATGAGAGGGGGAAGGGTCAGAGGGCAAAGCAGACTCCCTGCCGAGCAGGGAGCCCGATGCGGGACTCGATCCAGGGACTCCAGGATCATGACCTGAGCCGAAGGCAGTCACTTAACCAACTGAGCCACCCAGGCGCCCTGTTGGGAGATTTTTGATTACTGCTTCAATTTCCTTAGTGGTTATAGGTCTGTTCAGGTTTTTTATTTCTTCCTGGTTCAGTTTTGGTAGTTTATACATCTCTAGGAACATTCCATCCCAAAGCAACAGAATACACATTCTTCTCTAGTGTCCATGGAACATTCTCCAGAATAGATCACATCCTAGGTCACAAATCAGGTCTCAACTGGTACCAAAAGACTGGGATCATTCCCTGCCTATTTTCAGACCACAATGCTTTGAAACTAGAACTCAATCACAAGAGGAAAGTCAGAAAGAACTCAAATACATGGAGGCTAAAGAGCATCCTACTAAAGAATGAATGGATCAACCAGAAAATTAAAGAAGAATTTAAAAAATTCATGGAAACAAATGAAAATGAAAACACAACTGTTCAAAATCTTTGGGATGCAGCAAAGGCAGTCCTAAGAGGAAAGTATATAGCAATACAAGACTTTCTCAAGAAACAAGAAAGGTCTCAAATACACAACCTAACCCTACACCTAAAGGAGCTAGAGAAAGAACAGCAGATAAAGCCTAAACCCAGCAGGAGAGGAGAAATAATAAAGATCAGAGCAGAAATCAATGAAATAGAAATCAGTGAAATAGAAACCAAAAGAACAGTAGAACAGATCAACGAAACTAGGAGCTGGTTCTTTGAAAGAATTAACAAGATTGATAAACCCCTGGCCAGACTTATCAAAAAGAAAAGAGAAATGACCCAAATAAATAAAATCATGAATGAAAGAGGAGAGATCACAACCAACACCAAAGAGATACAAACAATTATAAGAACATATTAAGAGCAACCATATACCAGCAAATTAGATAATCTGGAAGAAATGGATGCATTCCTTGAAATGCAGTTAATTTAGAAATCAACAACAATAAGGGTGTCTGGGTGGCTCAGCCGGTTGGGCATCTGACTCTTGATATTGGCTTGGGCTGTGATCTTGGGGTTGTGGGGTCAAGACCTGCACTGGGCTCCACACTCAGTGGGGAGTCTGCTTGGGATTCTTTCTCTCCCTTTCCCCCTGCCCCTTGCTCTCCTCTCTCAAATGTCTTTTTTAAAAAAGAAAATAAGAAAATAACTGCAAACTTTTAACTCTTTTGAAAACAATTCTAAACAGCTATAGACTT